TACACTTATGATTTGATTGACTTGCTTCCAGTCTCGATTAATATCCAGAGATCACTTTCTGAGTTAAGTCCATCAGAGTTGTGGTGCTTGGTAGAAAGTTACTTTAATCTGCTCACATGATTTTCATTTATATTTAGATTATGTTACTTTTTATCTGGCAAACTACCATCATGTAATGAATTTTATTTGCATGGAACAGGATGACTAGTGGCCAATTTATGTCTGCAATGGATGCACATGTTTCTCTATTGATATTCTCCTGCAGCTTGTGATTTGCTTAAATTATATTCCATCTCTTAGAATGGATCGCCAGGACACATCAGGTTTTGTTAGTGGTGGATGTTTCCCATTTTTGGAAGCTACATTTGATCTTTAGTTATTAGTATTTCCCCTCATTTCTTCTTAACTTAAGACCTCATAACTCCAGCAATCTTTTATTTTCATAATTTTAAATTTCATTCATTAGTTTTTCGTGAGGTGTGAGTTAACAGTGCATGGACTGCACCTCCCACTGTTCTTCTACTTTGGCCTCTGTGTCAGAAGATCTATGCAAATTTGTCAGTTATCCGGTCTTTGCTGCTCCGGATCTTAATTCACCTTGTGTGACAAGCTCCTGTTATTCCAATGGAAGCAAGAGGAAATGGAATGCTGTTAATGAGCCTACTAAATTGAAAGATGGGTCTTCTCCGTTTCTTGGATTGTCTCATTCGTCAAGTTTCTGCACTGCCATATGCTCTGGGAAAGAAATAGAAGAGTCTTCTATTGATCTTGGTCTTAGTATCAACATCAACCTAGGAGATGACAGGACATCCAATCCCACTAAGTTGCCTGCAGGGGCTCCAAATACACTTGAAGGAAGGAAGCCTAAACTAGACTTACAATTGAGTCTATCCACTGGACCTTCTGAATCTGATGTCACTACTGTTACTCAAGTGTTCAGTCCTTACCAGAATAATTCTGAGTCACGTTCATTAGCTGCCACATTTCAAGTTGTGGATGAAGGATCAACATCGTCTCGTTGGAAAACTGGGCCTCTTGTGTCTCCGTTGCAGAATATTAAGACTTCCATTCCTTTGGACCAAGTCCATTACCAGGACAATCCTACTTCAACAACCCTGAATGTTGCATTAACTTCGGAAACGACACCAATATCAGTTGCTGGTGCTTCTGGGTCAGTTAATAAGCAACAGCACCGGAGAACTGGCGTGAAAACCTGTCGGTTCGAAGGATGCATCAAGGGAGCTAGAGGTTCTTCTGGTCTCTGTATTGCCCATGGAGGTGGTAGGAGGTGTCAGAGGGAAGGCTGTCAGAAGGGAGCTGAGGGAAGGACAGTTTTCTGCAAGGCACATGGAGGCGGTCGGCGTTGCCAGTATCTTGGGTGTACTAAGAGTGCTGAAGGCGGTACTGAATACTGTATAGGTCATGGGGGTGGTAGGCGTTGCAGTCACGAGGGCTGTGCTCGTGCTGCAAGAGGTAAGTCTGGCTTGTGCATTCGTCATGGAGGTGGCAAAAGGTGCATGATGGAAAATTGCTCTAAGAGTGCTGAGGGAATATCCGGCCTCTGCATATCTCATGGTGGTGGTCGTCGCTGTCAGTATCCTGCCTGTACAAAAGGTGCTCAAGGAAGTACAATGTTCTGTAAAGCTCATGGTGGTGGCAGAAGGTGCACATTTTTGGGGTGTACAAAAGGTGCAGAAGGAAGCACTCTGTTATGCAAAGGCCACGGTGGAGGGAAAAGATGTACGTCTGTAGGATGCACCAAGAGTGTGCATGGTGGAACCTTATTTTGTGTTAGTCATGGTGGGGGCAAGAGGTGTGCCATGCCCCAATGTACAAAGAGTGCAAGGGGACGCACGAACTATTGTGTCCGTCATGGGGGTGGAAAAAGGTGTAAGTTTGAAGGATGTACAAAGAGTGCACAAGGGAGCACTGAATTTTGCAAAGCACATGGTGGTGGAAAACGATGCTCTTGGGGGCAGTTGGGTTCAGAGTTTGGTGGTCAAGGCGCCATTCCATGCGACAAGTTTGCTAGAGGGAAATCCGGCTTGTGTGTTGCCCACAGTGCACAAATTCAAGACAAGCAGATGCACGAGAGTGTTCCAATAGTTTCTACAGTGCAGGATCTACACCCTGGCACATTTTCCCAGTTGAAAGGGTTTTCTGCAGCTGGAAGCCATCTTTCTGATCGCATTGGCACATGGATTGATTCAATGGGTTATGGACAGCAAATGATCGCTACGCAGATTCCACCACAAGCAACATCCTTTCATGGAAACACTAGCTTGAATGATTTCTCTCTTCCGGAAGGTAGGGTGCATGGAGGAAGCTTAATGGCAATGCTTAGAGGAAGTACAAGCTTGGGAACAAGCAACAATAATCCAGAAGTTGGTCAAAATTTGGAGCCAGTGAAATCTTATCCTATGCCTCATAGTTGGGTGTAAGTTAATTCATCCCTTCATGTTGGCATAGTTCTATTGATTTCGGATGTGATCTGTATTGCATTTCCTTTATCTTAGGGTTTGGTATTGTGGATAAGAAAATCTTATCCCATTTCATTATGAGTCATAATGTGCTTGGTGTCTTCTGAAGTATAAGAATTCAAAGTATAAAATTTGGGTCTGTATAGTATCTGTTTAGTTAAGACTGTTTTGAGTCTCCTGTAAATATTTAATTCAAAAATAAAAATGTTGTAAATATTATGCAGTTTATCCGTATATAGTATTATGCTAGTGTTTAATAATCGCGGGCCCCACCCCATATTAGATGGCTGTGAGCCAGGGTGTACATCTAGCATTTCTCTTTCAGCAAAAGATGTTATTTAAATTACGAAGTACGAAATCTGTTACGACCTCAAAGAAACTGGATCACATTGACTTGGCCAGAAGGTAAATAACAAGGAGCGGGGGAAAATATGCCTACTCAATAACTGAAGCTCTTGGAATCGACAATGAATGTAGTGTGAGGGCATTGATCTCCAATCTCCTTTCATTTATACTTTCCTGACGTGTGTTGAATCGAAGAATCAATTTTGTGAGCTCATACTCGGCGAGCCATAAGTATGGCGAGGGGGCAAGAATATAAAGGGCTCACATAACATAGGCGCCATTTACCCGACCCGGTTAAGCTAAAAAACGTTATATAGGTACATGTGGTCAAATGTTTGAAGGATGACTCCGAAGTAGTGATGACAATTTACCTCGCCCCGAATGGGGCAAAAAAAACCCGCCTCGTCACGGAGCGCGGGGTGGGGCATAAATGGTTGCCCCGTCGCGGGGCGGGGCA